CTGCCACATCTACAGTCACCCTGCCACACCTACAGTCACCCTGCCACACCTACAGTCACCCTGCCATACTCTTAGACCATTGAGCAGCACTTGTGCAGGTCTGACTCCCAGTTCTGTGATGACCTCATTAACCGGCCCTCATTAACACACCTAACGACCCATTTCCTAAGCGGTTACAAACAAATTAGAACACCTCAAATGTTACAATTGTATCAAGTCTCCCTTGCTGCTGTCAGGGAACGTGTAAACGAACTCAGGCAAAATGCATGGGAGACATATGTCAACAGCCTGAACCAACACACATCCCTCAACAAAGCCTTGAAAGACAAACGCAATCAGAGATAGAAACAGTAGACACGTCTCCCATCCAAACCCTCTGCAAAAGTCGAATGAGCTAATAACAAAGTGGGCTCATGTGTCTAGCTATGACATGTTACCAGCTAGGACTCGGGGACTCCTTGATGCGAAGTATTTAGAGAGAAGTACAGTATTCTTATTAACTTTATGCTGGGCAAACAGCACAATGAGTGTGATGTTCCATATACTGAGTGGGAGCTTGACGCCGCTCTCGCCAGGGGTAAGTCTACTGACCCTGGAGAGGATGGAGTCACCTGCAACATCGTTAGACTACTAACGCGTGTGCCGGGCAATTCATTATTGGTATTGTACAATATGAGTCATGCCGAGGGCCTACTACCCACATCATGGACCAGCAGTATTCTTGTACCAAAACCAGAACAGCCTGATTCTTTTCGTCCCATATCACTAACCAGCTGCCTTTGTAAAACCTTTGAGAGGATGGTTCTTGGCAGACTCGTATATAGAATCAGAGAACACATGTCTCCTAACATAAATGGCTTCACCCATGGTAAAGGTGTACATAATTGCATCACCACATTCCTAACTGTGCATGGTGATGAAAGGCACAGATACACCACATTTCTTGACCTAAAAGCTACATTTGAGATTGCCAGTAGGCAACTGATATTGTACGAACTAGCCAAAATGGATATAGGAGGTTACCTAACCAACAGAAGGGCTGCTGCACTGTTTCAGGGTTACAAAAGTGAAGTTAAAGATATGCAACTTGGTATCCCTCAAGGTGGAGTACTTAGCCCCACTTTGTTCAATGCTCTTATGAATGCATTGTTAAATTTAATACCAGACAACCCCAGCAATATCACAATCAGCTATGCTGATGATATTCTTATACATACTAAAACGCATCGTGAATGCAAACCACCCTGAACCATGTACAAGCAGCCTGTGAGAACCTCGGTCTCATTATCTCCACTGAGAAAACTAAGGTGTTCAACAAACAAGCTGGTAACCGCAAACGCGGCCCCGCCAAGTTCAAGATAGGTAGCAACATGATTGACTATGTTTCTTCTTTTAAATATCTTGGTGCCTCCGGCCCTTGTACCTTACCTGCCATACAACAGCTAACCCGCCAATGTACTGACAGACTGAGACCTCTTAGAAGTGTAGCGGGGTACAGCCCACATTATGGTGCTAATATTAGAATTGTTAAAACAATGTACCTAGGCAATGTAAGATCTCTGATAGATTACCACGCACCAGCCATGGTCCTTCGTGACAAGAAAGGCGTTGACAAGCTCGAGAAAATGCAAAATAAATCCCTCAGAATTATCCTAGGATGTCCCATGAGCACTAAAGTACTTAATATGAGGAAAGAACTTGGTATACCCAGTGTTAAAGAAAGAATAATTGAAGTCATTCTCATGATAGCCCTGAGGCTTCTGCGTGATGATCCTGATAACTTTGTTTCCTTAAAATTGCTAGAATGTATGAACCATGGGACTGGTGAGTCTAAATGGATCCAAACTACAGCTACACATATGAAGATATTTGGACTAGACCATCTGTACAAAGTTGAGACACAACAGCGCTTCTGCCACACTGGCGGACAGTTCCCTTCGATATCACAATACCGACATATCCGCCTAAAAAATTAATTATACAAAGTATTCATCTCCAACACACTGCCAAAGTGAGAGCTCTTGAACACTTACACACACTACAGACTAATGATAATATCACACAGACCATCTACACTAATGGATCTCTTAACACCGTCTGTGGGAGGGCTGGAAGTGCTATTGTTGTGACTCAACCTGACGGTAATATAATTGAGAAAGGAGTTAGAATTAGCAACTGGGCTTCCACTCTACAAACTGAATTAGTTGCCATACTCACAGCTATTACATTCATTGAAACCACTGTCACTGACAGTCTCATCATCACTGACTCTCTATCCTCACTACTTGCTCTTGACACCCTCAACTCAAGTTGTCACGCGCTTGTCTCTGAAGCCAGACACAAATATACGTACCTTGTTGACCGGGTGTCAAGGTCAAACTGTTGTGGATCCCCTCTCACATAGGCCTCATAAAACATGACAGAGTTGATGCCCTCGCCAAACTTGTGACTAACAAAGACACTGTTGAATACAATTTGGGTCTGTTAAAGGGACCCTTTAAAACTGTAATTAGGAAAGAACTTATTGACGAATTTGACGCAAGTGGACACGTGCAAACAGGCACTAGTCGATCCATAGTTTGCCATGATGAGATGTATCAAGTGAAACATGTATATGGAGCAAGTAACAAGATCACTAAATCACAAGATGTTGTAACCGCTTGATTAAGGTTAGGATATAAGTACCTCTGGCAGTATGTTCCCCAAGCAGATGTAAACAAGACTAAATGTAAAGTGTGGCCACACACTTGAACACTACGTCCTCGACTATGTGAAGATAGAACCTTTTAGGGACAGGTCCAAGCACACTGTGTGTGAAATGGCACAACACTTCATCTCTAATGGCAAGATAGCCGACATATTAAGATTGTAGCCACTTTTTTGCACTTAGTAACTATATCAGTTCTCATGTACAGAACCAAATACACAATGTGCTTGAATACTTCTCACGCAAATGTGAATAACAAAGTGTGCGGCCAGACATACTGCCTCACACGCCTGTACTCACGCATTTGTGAATAGTTACCCTTTATGTATAGAACTAAACAAATAATGTAATTGAAATACTGTGTAACATTCAGTGCCATAATATCCTGACAACGGGGGTTAATTATTATGACCCGTTGTAAACTGTACTCTGTAATCCTTTTGGGCTATCGCTCACAGGATGAGTGTGGGGTGCACATTAAAGTAGCCGCTGTAAACGGCAAAATCAAGATCATCCTAAGCTATGACGTCACTACAAGTAAAAACTGAAGTAGGACTCTTAATGGTGTCTTCCTTGAACTTTGACCTCTGTCGCAACTAATATTTGACTATGACGTCACTAGGACGGCTGACGTCAAGGACTATAAACATTATTTTATCCTTGGCTGACGTCACATAATCCGTAGTATTTGTTGCGTGTATTATATTATTCAATGGTTCACGGTAATACAAACTCTCGCTTTTATTAGTACAAAAAAAACGGAAGGATCGCTTCAACAAATTAAGTATTTCATAAAAACTAAGACTTTTTGGACTGGCGCTGAGACGTCCAGGTGGAGGACTTGATACTCCAACAGGAATTGATGCTGATTTTGGAACGTAACCTGATTACTGTACTAAAAAATCTGTACGTATATAAGGTGACTTAAAAGTCCAAAATCATAGGAATATTTATTTTTCATTTTTATTACTTAAAATGCTTAAACTGCAAACCTCACTTTTTGAACATGGGTTTCGCTGAGCGTTTCTTAACACTGACACAAGGATCTTCCTGGGAATGCCTGGAATCAGTGGTTTATAACAGGGAACCTGTATTACTGAAAATACTAAGAATGTAATTAGTAAGGAACTTTTAGATGTTAAAATCTGGTATTTGTATCCGTTCAAACTCCTGCCGAGTAAATATAAATGTCAGGGTGTAGGCAAACACACTACAACCGAGCCCGCTAGCCCGACAGCTTCCAGAGGCTGGCGTGACCTTTTCCGGTGCGCTGGGTAGCTTGAAGGTCGGGTAATGAAATTAACCCATCTCAGTAATATTTACATGTAAAATGTCACAGCAGGCAAGACATTACGAGTTTACAGTATATAATGGCTTTTTTTAAGAACATAAGCCGGAAACTACAGCGGGCCTATTGACCCACACTATGCAGCCCCGTTTACACCCAACCCTTATCGCTCATATATCTGTCCAACCTATATTTGAAGCTTCCCAGCGTGTTCGAGTTAATGATTATGTTCTGCAACTTGTTCCACTCATCCACTACTCTATTTCCAAATCAGTGTTTACCTATCTCATGCCTTAATCTAAATTTGTCTAATTTAAAATTAATATTGCTACAGTACGTGTTCGCTGCTGGTTAGATAGTTGCAGACAAAATTCCCTGAACACCTGGCAATATCTGGCATCTACTTCTGGGTCACATATAGATATAGATAGTATGTACACTTGTATGATGATTTTAATGAAAGTATAACTATCTATCAGTCAGTAGTGTTTATTTCTGAGTATCTTTGCTGCTGTGTGACTCTTGTAAGAACACAATACTTTGGGTTGATGCCACAATTCTGTTCCCTAACAGCTGCGAGTGCTCAAGGTCTAACTAGGAGCTGGTATATCTTATAAAAACAGAACACTCGTACTTAAGTGTAGGGGCAGAAGGTGATGAAAGAGAGAGAGAGGAAAAGGAAAGAAGAGAGAGAGAGAGGGAGAAATAAATGAAAAAGAGAGAAAAAGAGAGAGAGAGAGAGAGAGAGAGAGAGAGAGAGAGAGAGAGAGTTCTAATGCTCCCCCTTTCTTTCAGGTGGGTCCTTGGAGAATCACACGTCGGGTGATGCTATTTGTCATCGTCTTCTGTGTCGTGCTCATCGTCTTTGGCACCTTCATCCTCAAGACGCACAAATTTGACGACGACGACGACGACGACTGGGATGATGATGACGATGATGACGAGGATGAGAAGAGCATCAGTAGCGGTGACTCGATCATGTTCGTCTTGATCGGTCTGGCGGGTGAGGATCAATGTTTCCTCTTTAATTGTTTACCTGCGTTGTCAGCTCTATACACCATTTATCTAATGCATAAGTCACTTATTCGCTGACGAATATTTTATGTATTTACTGTACTTGTGGTTTTGGGCTCGTGTAACTTACCAGAGCCACTAAATTTACCTAAATTCCACCAAACTTAATCGTATAGTTTTGAACTAAAATAAACTTAATTCAAGTAAAAGTTTACTTGTAGTAAAAGCATTATACACAAAAACGTCTAGCGCTTAAACAACTTATGTTGAAGCACAGTAATAGTATCACAGCAACATGCTCTATATATGTAAGTTTAGCTGTGACAGAAACTCTATACCGTTTATGCAAGTTTTGTCACTGGTAGAAACTCACTTTCTACTGAGGTGCAGTGTTGCGTGAGTTTACCAATACTTGCTTCGTTTCATATCACGTACAGTATAGGTATAGTGGGACATATACTGGGATGATGGAAACTACTTTGTAAAAGCCGTCTAGCAGCAACCGATGGACTCACATAGTAGACATAAAGAGTATTTAGATGATGGACTCGCTGAAGGTCATGCAAACAGGAGTACTGGAAATATGGAAATAGTTTTGTTCTATTTGACCTTGACCTTTTGCACCTTATCAAGGTCACACAAGTCACAGTCCAACCAGGTAAGGGTTTATAACCTTTCGTCTGGCATGTCCCATTTTATGCTCTCCGCACCACCCAGTAACTCATTGTAAGAACGTAAGAACATAAGAATGGAGGAAACTGCAGCGGGCCTATTGGCCCATACTAGGCAGTCCCATTTACACCCAACCCCTATTGCCCATATAACCATCCAATCTATGTTTGAAGCTATCCAGCGTATTCCAGTTAATGATGATGTTTGGTATTCGACAGGTAACTCCGTGAGTCTAGGTTTATCCATGTTTCGGTGAATGCTATTATATCGATTTTTTTCGGTACATACCAACGCCCTGATTTCATCCATTTTGTTTCTCATACTTCTACTGTTTGCGTAGAAGACATTTAAGTTAGTCGTGTTCTGAGTCTTCTCTTTGTCGTGTTTATGTTTTAACTCCCTGCCTAATTTAGTTTTGGCATAATTCCAAGCACTATTTCCCTGTAACCTCTCACTTTGTTTACCTGCTCCCACAGTAGTCTCCTCCACCCCTGTGCTCATATGTTCCCCTAGCAGTTTAAAGACTTCGACATCTTTTGAACTGCCCTCTCGAGAGTGCCAGCCAGGGTTGCCACCCCATCCCTAGCATAAAGGTCCCTTCTGCCGTAGAAGTTGTCCCAGTAGTCAATGAATGGGACTGATATTGACTTGCATTATCTGTCAAGACGGCCGTTGACACCAATTGCTCTTGACAACCATTCACCACCAACTCCTTTTCTAAGCAAGACACCACATACTATCGGGATCCCTCCCCTACCTCTAACCTTCCCCAGCGCCTCCCTATACCTCTTGAAAAGTTCCTCACTCCTAACCTTTCCTATGCCGTTACCTCCTACACTAAGACACACTACTGGCTTGGTACTCTCCCGTGACAAAACCCTATCAATCCTCTCGGCTACATGCCCTATCCCAGCTCCAGGAAAACACACCCTAGTCCTACGTTTCCTATCTCTTGCACAAAAAGTCCTATCTAAGAACCTCACCTGGCTGTCCCCAACTACCACGACCTTACCACTGGGCAGGGTCTGAACAACTGCCCTTTTCTCTCCTCGTCCTGCCTCTTCTCTTCCTCGCCAGCTTCCTCCAACACTTGGTAGGGGATACTGCACTCCACACCCTGGTCAACTTTCCTGAGTCTGACCCTAGTCCCCTTGGAGACAACCACTCTCCACGCCTGCTCCTCCTGACCCTTCTTGGCAGGTGTCCTGTTAGGCAGGACACCTACCTGAAGGAGTTCAGTCCTGAGGGCTTCGTTCTCCCCCTTTAAAATGTTTATCTCTCTCCAGAACTGCTCCAGCTGACTTAACAGAGTGGCCAGGGGTCGTCTTTCCTCACACACCGTCCCTCTTCCCCCACAACACAACGATCCACGGCGGCCATTTCCTATGGTCACTAACACGAGCACTTAGGGCACGTCCTTCTCCAAGCTAGGTCAGGTAGCATGGGGTGTAGGGTATTCCTATAGGCAATGCTTAAATTTGGTATATATTCATGAAGCGTAGTGAAAGCTCATGGCGTGATTAATACCTACAGATATTCATAGGGATTCCCTGTGGGTGACTGGAATGTTCATGAGAAGGGGAAGCGCCCTATGAAAAAATACGTTCATTACCCAACAACTCTCATATATTAGGATACATGACTTTTCCAACCGACTTAACGTCCCGACTCCGTAGCCTCCAGTCCTCCCAGCCGGGAATTCCCGGCTACGTCGCCACTTCCAATTCAATTAACTGGTGTAGATCATCCATCCTGTTTAATAAGATAAAATTTTATGAATAATTTTGAAATTTTGGAAGCTGACAGCCTCAACACATTTCCCTATGTAAGAGAGAAATGCTGATTCATTTCATTCGTTCATGCCCAAGGAAATTTATATTATTTCCTCAAATAGAAGTCAAGTATAGCACCCGTAAACTGCACCTTCAAAATTACAGAAATCACTCTTCAAGCAGCAAACGATCATCGGTATGTTCCGGTAGGAGAGTTGTAAACGAATTCGCTTCGATAAATAATAGGTTTTTTTTTAATATCACTAGTATTCTTAAAAATTAACCATTTTTTATTGTTATAAAAAAATCGAATATATTAAAAAAGTACTACATATATCCCAAACACTGTCGCAACCCAATGAGATGAGCGCCCTCCTCAAATAATAATATTTGAGGATAAAACTGGACCTGGACTGACCGGCAGAGCGCATGATACACGGTGTGTGGGAAGGCTCAATGAAGTAACCCTGTCATTAGAATGTCCCGGTGATGAGAGTGACTTGTATTTTAGATGGTGGGTCAGAAGAAGAAAGAAAGAGATTGTGGAAGAGAATATACACAATCATAATTAAAAGAACTTAAAAGCTGAATGGAAACTCCAGGTGAAAAAAATGGTCCATGATGATACAGAAAGTGGCCTTTAGTCACCTGCAATATAAGTTACGAGGTCAAAAAGAACCCGAAACCTTTAAAAGTGGAACGTCACGGCAACGGCTTTGAGAGACGAGAAAGATCATGAAAAGCTGATAAATTAATCTGGAATCGAGTGGGTATAAAGTGTATGTTTGGGTGTGGAGTCTGTGTTTGGGTGTGGAGTCTGTGTTTGGGTGTGGAGTCTGTGTTTGGGTGTGGAGTCTGTGTTTGTGTGTGGAGTCTGTGTTTGGGTGTGGAGTCTGTGTTTGGGTGTGGAGTCTATGTTTGGGTGTGGAGTCTGTGTTTGGGTGTGGAGTCTGTCTGTGTTTGGGTGTGGAGTCTGTGTTTGGGTGTGGAGTCTGTGTTTGGGTGTGGAGTCTGTGTTTGGGTGTGGAGTCTATGTTTGGGTGTGGAGTCTATGTTTGGGTGTGGAGTCTATGTTTGGGTGTGGAGTCTGTGTTTGCGTGTGGAGTCTATGTTTGCGTGTGGAGTCTGTGTTTGGGTGTGGAGTCTGTGTTTGGGTGTGGAGTCTGTGTTTGCGTGTGGAGTCTGTGTTTGCGTGTGGAGTCTGTGTTTGAGGGTGGAACCTTAGTTCAGTTGTAGAAAAAACAATAAGTCATGAATGAACGAAAGCAATAATTTTAGTGGTGTACGAAGGTAACCGGACTAAAATGTAATGCTAAAAACAATAAAACAGTGATAACAGTAAAAGCACCCCTGTCAGCCTTTTACAAATTCAGGTGGCCCACTAGTCCATGTCCCAATCTCAGCTGCCTCGATCCCAAAGACAGATGTGTACACTTAAACTTCTTTGTGTTTAACAAAAACAAAAATTACGCCGTGGTGTGAACTTCTTGCTGGCCGGCCCGACCTTTATATTTTCTAAGATGGCCATGTGAGTTGATGTGTAGTGATGGCATGGTAGAGGAGTCAGGGGTGGGAGAGGAGGAGGAGAGGACCCTGGGAAGGTGTCTACATACATCTGGGCAATTCCTTTTACAAAAATATTGGCTACGTGGAGGTCGTTATAATTATGTAAACGCAGCCTCAGTATAGACACCTGTATTGGAATGTCTCTGTGCATCTAAACGCCTCATCAGAAGCTGCACTCACGTAGACACACCTGATATACCTAGTGCTATAGTCAAGTACACACATGAACACCACAAGGACCTCCTGTAGGACCCCTCAGTCCGTGACTCTATCACAAGAACGACGTGTAGAACCTAGAGTACACGGCCAGCCAGGACTTATTGGGGTATATCAGGTTTTTACCTTTAATGGCGTCAATGGTCAGCGGCTGGTTTTGTTTTTTCCTCCCTGCTACTGAGGAGTGGGGTGGTGCAGAAGTGTGAGTGATAAAGTGTAACACAGTAGAGTGCGAGTGTGATATAGGGCAGTGTGAGTAACAGCATAGTGCAAGAAGGTGTGAGTGACAGAGTAACCTCAGCATGGTGCAGGGAAGTGTGAGGGACAGGGAGTAACCCCAGAATGGTGCAGGAGAGTATGAGTGATAGTGAGTAACCCCAGCATAGTGCAGGAGAGTGTTAGTGACAGTGAGTAACCCCAGCATAGTGCGGGAGAGTGTGAGCAACAGTGAGTAACCCCAGCATAGTGCAGGAGAGTGTGAGCGACAGTGAGTAACCCCAGCATAGTGCAGGAGAGTGTTACTGACAGTGAGTAACCCCAGCATAGTGCAGGAGAGTGTTACTGACAGTGAGTAACCCCAGCATAGTGCAGGAGAGTGTGAGCAACAGTGAGTAACCCCAGCATAGTGCAGGACAGTGTGTGCGACAATGAGTAATAGTGCAGGAGAGTGTTAGGACAGTGAGTAACCCCAGCATAGTGCAGGAGAGTGTGACAACAGTGAGTAACCCCAGCATAGTGCAGGAGAGTGTTACTGACAGTGAGT